ACTTTTCTATTGCCTGCTATTCTAGAAGGGAAATCTGCTTTAAGGGATGCTTAACATAAAATTTGTGCTAATTGGTAACTAAAGGTGCAGCAAACTTCTGCATACATGAGACGATAAGTTTCCAAATAGTGTCAACTAGTACATTCTGACCACATTATCAGGGATTGATCATTCCTCTAACTTTTTCATAAAACCATCAGAATGAATACAGCAAAATAATATTTTAATGAAGAAAATATGTATTTATTTAGATTTATTTGTATACCATTTATTCAAACTATTCAGATAATATATAAACAGCACTTTTCAACACTCATAAAATCCATAAGAATTACAATAATGTAAATATTTACATTTTTTTGCCAATTTCTTAAAATTCACTGACCTAAAGCTCTGCAAATGAGGATGCTTTTAAACTGCGTCCTAAAAGATATGAAGATAAGAGTTACCCTGTCCTCAGAGGTTAAGCCATGCCAAAATGAGAGACCTCCCAAGTAGAAAGCCATTTTTGAGAGATTTTATTCCTTGATCTCTCTTGGGGCAAGTACCAGCAGGATGTTCTCCTGTCTCCTTCATTTATCTGATAAGGTGGTACAGTACATGGCTGTATAGGTAACAACCAACACCTTAAACTCTATCTGCAGCCAGAGCAGCTCTTGCCAAATGGAAAGCATTTTGCTTACCCAGCTGGCTCACATTTTTGGGTCATCTTCAAGGCAGCTTTTTCATACTCTAGCTGAGAGATGATGAAGGCACAACTCATTTAGATACTGTTATTCTCCAGTGCAATATCTGATTTGCCTTCATTGCTCTTATATTTTGATGCTGAGTTTGAATCAATTAAATTTTGATTCAATTAGATTAAATTAATTATTATGTTACTACTTAGAGATTTGTTTAAATTTGCAAACTGCAGACTAAAATAAATTTCATTTACTGTAACAATGTCATTTGGTAAGCAATTCATTCCATTCTAATATTGTCCCAATGTAATCTTCTATACATATAAAAGTGAAATACCACTCATGCATCATCACAAAATCTCCAGAACACTAAAGCCTACAAACTTGAAATTTGGCACATGTGTTCCTCTTGGCTTCTGGGTGCTCACTAAGAAAGGATTTTTTGAAATGACCATCAGAGCATTAGTATTTCATATATTATTATTAACATGCTCTAAACATGAGCTAAACCACGCCTAGGCTCACACAGCAAGTATTGTTTCAGTTTCCAAACAGCCCTCAACTCTCTCACACACTAACAGGACACTAGCCAGATTAATACCTATGGACGCTGGTAGACAGAGGCACAATTTCCCACCTTTATTTTCCTCCCCCCAAAATAAGCCCAACCACATAGTTTTGTAGCAAAGCACAGGTATCGAGCTAGTATTGTATAAATTTCGTAAAAATAGTCATTTCAAGTCCAAAATCCAAAACCTTCATTGCCAAAAATGAAGAGTTGTCAACAAAGCCCACTATTTGGGTAGAATGCTTAAACTGTCTGTGATCAGTGGTCAATTAAATATTGGTAGTCCCTTCTGCCAGTAAAAATGTATGTCTTTAGGGAGTATAAATGTTGCAGTAGGCAGGAATGCCAAAATCTTGTGACTTAATGAGATGTTAGAACTATTTTTAAAAAGCAAATGTAAATTAATTTTATTGAACTTTGAGGTTGCACAGATGCCATTTGGAAACATGTGATGCCCTCAGAAACTATAGTGCAAATCCATTGCTTATGTGGTTATAGTTCTCAAAGCAATGTTCTAAACATTATTTTTCTGACTATGTTTTCTGTTTGCTTATACTTTTTTCTCAATGTATCCTATTATTTTAACAAATTATCAAAAGGTATTTTAAATTTGAAATGACTGCTTTAATAATAATGTGCTATTTATTGCAATAATTGTAAATATTAAGACTGATTTTCATAATTGCCACATACTTTTCAGAAGATCAATCCATTGTATTCTGTCACCAAATAATTTTTCAATTAACTCATTATTGACATATCTTTTTAGTTAATATTTTTAAGTGGTGCTTAAGCATATTAATATAAAAGTTATACCGTATCACAATCCCAAAGGACTCCTGGCAATTTACAGAAAGTACAATAAACAATTAAATGATCTATGGTTGATTTAAAAGTATAGTTGAGAATTTGGTAGCATACAAACTTAATTTATTATTATTAGCATACCTACAACAATGTGAAATCACAGCTGCCAGTTCTTTAGCTGGTGGTAGCCTTCATTTACATCAAATTATTCCAAGGACCAAGGTTATCATAATGTATCAGCATAATACATGTGTGAATCCAAGCAGTGTGGCCTTTTATAACTGATAAATGGAAATTTTGTCAATGCACAGATTTTCTAAGTGTTATCCAAGGCTTTCTGGCATGGCTTCTCTGCCACCAGTAATTCTTTGATAGTACCTGAAAGACCATCAAACAACATCTGCTTCTCCTCAGAGTTTGGAAAGCACATAATAAGTGGATACAAATGCCAGATCCAATCTAAACAATAAATAGTATTATTGTAAAATGAACTCATTTAATGTTATTCCTTTCAACTCTCCCCCTCACCCAAACTAAGTCATCTTGAAGACCTTCATTTTAAGCTGATTCTGGAAAACAGAAAACACTTAAAGTAGATCTAATCCACTGGGAGGACATTCCAGAGGCCCAGTGCTACTACTGATAAGCAGCATCAGCAAGCCTCATACCACCTCACCTCTCTAAAATGGGGATCTATATGTTGCTTTTCCCAGCAAGTTCAAATTTGTCAGCCTAATTCTAGAGTGACAATATGGTCCTAATAGTAACTGAGTGCTGTTAGGGATATACACCCTAGCAGAATCTGCACGGCAGTCAGGCAGGCAGGCAAATATGTGAGACAAACGTTTTTGTAGCTTACACTCAGTAAAACAGATACACTGTGCTAGTTAAATAGTTTATTCCAGTAAAAATTGTAGCATAGTCAAAACAGTCCATATATCATTTAGAAGTTCAGTCCGTTCGGGGATTATTCAGTTGCAAAGTCCAGTGTCGAAAAAGAGGTCAGTAAACTTACAAATATCAGTCCAGTAATATATCTCTTCACAGTAGAGATATGAAGAAGTCAAACCTCCTTTCTTCCTTTAGCAACAGCAAAGAACACACAGTTATCAAACCATCAATCCATCTTCGTCTGCAAGCAATCCAGTAAGCCAGCAATCAATCAGGTTCTCTTGCTCCCTCTTATGGCGGATTTTACAACCGCACCCAAAATTACATGCTTTGCAGTTTAAAGTGACACACACTTAAATTCACTATCATAGTTTATATATATTATTTTATCCAAACTACGTTAGGTAACCTTGTTATTCCTAACAAGTGCCAAGACATAAAAAGATGTTTAAGTCAAGACCAGCAGTTAATAATTTACTTTATATCTATTTACTCCTTTCTAGAGGAGAGGATATATTTGTATAAACAAATTTTGTTTCTAACTGCAAAATCAAGTGAAAATTCACTCCATCAATATTATTTGCTAGTTTAGATGTTCTTCTAATATTGTATTAAGATCATCCTTTGCTTACATTTTAGTAGTTTCATGTAATTATACTTAAAATTATACTGTATAAAGAATACACAATATAATTCACAGCTCTGCACAAAGTTTGAAATATTTTATTTTGTTAAGCATGTTAAACTTTTGGCAATTATTTAATCTAGAGCCTAAAGCAGCACAATTTATATGTTGAGATTAGAACTACAGAACAGGCAGAAGCCATTTATGCCACCAAGTGCTACTGTCTGCTTTGGGATGACCTCCATTTACATTTTAAATCAATATCAAAGAGCATGAAATTGTCACTTGAACTAGTGAAGATTGGTATGCTTTATAAATCACACATTAGTGATAACCCCAATTCACATTTGTTTAGAAACCAGTATGAAAGTTTGTGCATGAACTTATTGTTAGTGTTATTTATTTAGTCAACTGTCAATATGTGAAAATCATTGCCATTCAGTACAGATGTGAGCAAACATCTTTTTCCTATTAGAAATATGAAAATTAGACACACTGTTAGCAGTTTAAACAATAGTTCTTTTGTCATGCACTAAAGTCAAGGAATACATGCATAGTAGTATACGTTTTGTGACTGATTATTGATTTTAGCAACACTCCTGTGGACTCACATTTAGCTTCACATGATTTAAAGGACTGCTGATTTGCACTGTAGGATTACGTGACACAAATTTGCAGATGCAAAGAGGAAGGGAACAGGAGTGGATATCTGCTGACATGATTTTAGATATGACTGTTGAGGTATTCCCCATTAGGAGAATGAGTGTACTCAGGGAAACATAGTGAGAGTGGTGATGAATAACCAGCACAACCAGCACACAGATACACTGAATAGTAAAATGTAGGTTTTACTTCCAGTAAACAGGTAAACAAAGTCCAACAAACAGTCCAAATCATACATGGTTAAAGCAGGTAGTATTCAATACAATCAGTCCAGGGATAATCCAAAAACGAAGTCCTTTTCTTTACCAGTATCATAAACAAAGTTCAGTAAACAGAGTTTGCGAACAGTTGCAAGACTCACAGCAATTCAATCAGAATGACGATCGGGCAGAAAGCAAAAAGGAAATGCAAAAAGAACAAACCAGGTTTCTGACTCCATCTTATGGCTGTTGGAAGAACTTCAGCCAATCACAATTACAACATTCTCTTAAAGATACAAGAGTATTAAATGACTATCCAGGTTTATATATTGCCAACCCAACTGTTAGGTGACTATCATTACTAACAATGACCCATATTTATTTTTGCTGCTATAATTAGTAATAATCTGATTTATTTGTGCAATAAAAAATAAAGGATCAAGAAATGAATATCAGTCCTTTTCAAAAGAATCAGTCCTTGTCAATAATGCTTTATCTATGAAGGAAAATGTGATTTAATTCTGATACATTAATTTTATTCACTTGGGTTTTTTTAATTACAGCTAGCTGCGCTGGAGAGACAAATCTTTGACTTTCTGGGATTCCAGTGGGCTCCCATCCTTGGCAATTTCCTGCATATAATAGCTGTTATTTTGGGTTTGTTTGGAACCATCCAATACAGACCTCGGTATATAGTTCTGGTAAGTAGTCTTTCACTTTCTAAGTACATTCACAATTCTTTTTCCAGTTGTTTTCTATATAAAAAGTATAACTTGTATACTTGTTTAATGTTCAGATTTTCAGTATGTTTTTTTAATATCATGGCTGTTTTGATTGTTTTGTGATTAGTATCAGGATGTTCTATGAAAAATTGGACATATATGCTTGTGAATATGAATATGAAGAAGTATATGGCCTTCAGTATAAGGGCAAGTGATTCTTGAAGTTTTCCTTTAAAATCTTTCCAGCAATTTTATAAAAGATATGGTAGTGTATTGCTGAAAAACAAGACCCTTGAAGTATAATTTAGTTTCTTTGCTTTGCCATATCTTATTTCCTTCATACTCTTTAATATATTTTACATGCAATTTTCCCATGTAGTTCACACTCCTGTGTTTATGGGAACCATCAGAGACCTCTTTGAATTGATGCAGACTAGTAACTGACCCTGAAAACAATTGAAGATAGTGATCTTAAGAATAAATAACTCTAAGTTATTTATTGCCAAGTGGTTTTACTTCAGCTATGTGAAATAACATAATTATAGGCACAGTTTTTTTTATAAGAACTATAAATACACTGGGGAACTCTGTAACTTAACATTACAGGAATCAGGAATTCTAAAACGATGTAAAAATCTATCTTTCTTCACAATTTGTTGAGCCTTAGCTGGATGGAAAGATTGAATATTTATGACTTCTCTCTCTGGAAATGAGAGAAATTTCTGGGAATTTTATGAGTAATGGATGTTGAGGTATAAAGACAATCTTTTCTATTTTATTTTGTTAGGAATTTCGATTAAGGAATTTTATAAAAACTGTTATTAAAGTTTACATTGGTATTGATGTAAGCCTTTCATCCTTTTTCTCATCTTTTATTTCATCTCAAATTACTATGGCATTTTTAAAAGGTGCAGAAAAATAGTATTTTTTTATATTTGGGGAATTGAAATTAAGGTTTCATTTCAATGTGTTTTGTAAGTCTTTAAAAAGGAAACTTTCTGTAAAAGTGGGTAACTTTATATAACTGTATTTCCTTGATCTGTGGATGTTTGAATTATCCATAGATAACATTTGCATCCTTAACATCTATTTAGTTCCATATATTTTGTTTTCTCATTCTAGATCATTTAATGTATTGCTAAAAGGAAACAGCAAGTAAAATAATAATGTGAATGTTAATAAATCAACATTGAGATTTATTTCATATTATAGATAGTCCTTGATTTACAACCAGAATTGAGCCCAACATTTCTGCTGCTAAGTAAAATAGTAGTAAATTTTATTCTAAATTACTACAATGAATACATGCAATGTCATTTCATTGCTCTCATCAATTTACCAATGATTTTCCAACAATATATTTTGTTCCTATTACTTTCTTTCCTTTATATGTGTTTGTATATGTGCTAGATAGATAGAAGGAAAATCTGAAGGTATTTATGCCATCATTTGATAATCTGGAAAAATTTAATTCATAACATTATTAATCACATATTTATTTATTTTAATTAACAGATTTCTTGGTTTTTGGTCATTTTTTAGAGACTTAGCAAAATAAGGCTGTGGTATAATCACTTCCACGTTTTGCAGAAATATATCATGAGAAATGCATAGTTAGATCAATGTGTCAGAATTTATTGGTATCAATAGACTAATATAGCACTATAAATAATTAATCTAACTTTCTTTGTGTGTAATCAGTGAAGAAAGAATATTGTATTTGCAGTTGGCTGCTGTTCTACAGATTTCGGAGTACAGAATTCTTTCTGGAAACTCCCTGCCTGGTGGTTCCCAGAAGTGTACTTATATATTTAATTTACAGTATCCATGTGTATAATATTTTTAGCATAATCTTTTATCTGTTTTTCTTTCTTTACTTAGTACTCCATTTGGACGGCTCTCTGGGTCACATGGAATGTTTTCATTATCTGCTTTTATTTGGAAGTAGGTGGTCTATCTAAGGTAGGTTGCATATTTTGACTGAATGGAATGGAACAATGATTCTTAATTAAAAGAATTACAGGGTGACTATTTTTTTAATATATTTCATTGGATTTTGAAAAAAAATGACTACGGATCAATTGTGGGTCTTCTGAATTTCTGTTTCCACAATTGCTATAGCATTATTATATGTTTTGGGGCAATCCACTGATATGACGAGATACATCATACATGAATTTCTAAGAAAATCTTTATATGGTAGTTAGATAAACCTTACTTGTTCCATGTCTGCAAACCTTGAAATAATTATTTTTATGATTAGTTTCTTCTGACTTGTCACAATTCAGACATTTTGTTAGCAATAACATGGGATTCTTCCGAGCAGATATTTGCTGTTATTTTCCATATTATTTTGTTTGGTTGCCTGCTTGGCAAAAACTTTAATAATTCATTATTTTTGAATTATTTTTGAGGCTATATTGTTGTTACTGTTTTTTATCTACTTTCCTGAAGTTGTTAGAGCTTGTTAATTGTTTTGTCATTCTATTATGCAGCCAAAAGTAGCTCACAGTAGGAACCACCAGTTTATAGAGCAGAAAATCTTGACAACCATCTTTTCCATAAATTCCTAGTATTTAAGAACAGTATAGCCTTAAGACAAATATTGAAGCAAAGCAGTGTTAACATGGATGAAAGAATGGATTGTTTTGTGGAATACAAGATTATTGATTCTGGAGGGGCATGGTTTGCAATTGGGTTGGTATACTTTTCTATGGTATGGGAATAGTAAGATACATGGTTACTTTCAAAGACATTATATAAGAAACACTTTATTGTTAACATGGGAGAAAAAACAGCCTTAGTTGAAAATTCCAGTTTGGCTTTCGACAATGGAAGCACTCCAAACATTGTTAATATGGGAAATATTGTTAGATATAAAGATATTTTAAATGAAAACGGTGAGCTCAAAACTAAGCAAGAACTAAATGAACAAGTGATAGTCATGTTTGGTATTCATATTTGCAAATACAGTCTAAATACAAAAAAGATGTTACATTAGATGGTTTCTATAAAGAACAGACAGAATTGGATAAAATATTATCAGGAACAGAAGAAAGATTGATAAAAAAAAATTGTATAGCCATTTATTGGCTGTTAAATTGGAAGAAGAACAAATGGGGAAACAATGATAGCATGGGCAATTTTTTTGTTTACACTATAGAATTATATAAATGGCAGAAATTGTGGGATAGAAACTATAAACTAACAATGTCAACTGCATACAAAGAAAATCTGTATAAGAAGTTTTATAGATGGCATTTTGCACCGGCAAGACTGGCAAGGATGTTTAAAGATAAATCAGCTAAATGCTGGAAATATTACCAGACACCAGGAACATATTACTATATGTGGTGGACATGTGTAGAAGCTAGAAGATACTGGACAAAAATGCATACATGGTTGGAAAAGATGATATAGCAACATATTGATTTAAAACCTGAAATATTTCTGTTGGGGATTATACCTGAAAATTATAGCAAAGAGAATGTATATTTAATTATTCATGTATTAACTGCAGCTAGAATTGTATTTGCACAAAATTAGAAAAGTGAAGAGATCCCAAATGAAGAAAATGTGATTAGAAAAATATTAGTCTGTGCAGAAATGAATAGGTTAACATTAGAAATCCAAGAAAAAGAACAAACTGAATATTATATGATATGGAATTTATTTTATCAATGGTTGGAAAATAAATATGGAAATTAGAAACTAGAGAAGACTAGCATAAAATAGTAAATATGTGGTAAGAATTAAAAATGTTAAGATGGGGAATTTTAGAAGAATTAGGTATATGATGTAGATTAGTATGATGTAAGAATAGAGTATTAAAGTAAAAGCAATGAATATGTATAAGCTGTAATGGTTATTGCACAAGATATGTATACTCAGATAACACACTGTTCAAATGAAAGATGGAATATTTGTATAAATAAAATTAAAAAATTAAATAAATAAAAAAGATATTGAAGCAAAGTTCCCTTCTATAGACTTTTCCATCTAATTTTTGTTAAACTGGTCTAAAGTCAAGCCCATGGAAACACAGGACAGGAATAGCCAAGCTGGTAACTGAAGATATACTGTTTATGAGACCAATAGAGGAGAACATAGTAGCTCAGAGTTGAACTGTCCTTGGTGCTATGTGCTTAATTGTTTGTGCAGACATTTTGTTATCAGACTAAGCAATCAGACTGTCTTCAGTACTAGAAGAGAATGGAGTCTCTATTTATGTATAGAAGCTTGCTCAGACAGAGCTGATGGGAGTGTTGTTGTTTTTTCCTTAATAGTTCCTTGATTAGGCTGTTTTTGCTATCTGATTGTCTTGGTATTAATCTTGGTGTTAATCCTGGTTTAGCTGGGTGATGATTGCTGGCAAGGAGGTTTCTTTTTAGCATTTTGTTTTCTTTTGTTTTTCTTTTAACATTTTGGTTGTCCCTTTTAAATTTTGTGTAAATGTAATTGTTTATTTCTATGTGCCTGTTGTTAAAGGGGGAGGACAAGGGAACCTGGTTCCATTAATAAAGTGGTTCTGTCTGTCTGGAAAAATATTGACCAGATGCCCAAGTACCATAAATTTGTTAATTAAATTTAGAAATAAGCAATGATGATATTGGCTTAAACATAATTCGGAAAGAGAAATTAAGTATTATTGTTGATGTGTTACATTGGATAAGATTTAAAAATAAATGCACAAATACATACATACATTTTTAAAATATCTTCTTGCTTCGGTTTAAAATTATGACACATTTATGAGATTGCATATGAAAATTTATAATATAAGTAGTTTTCTGTTCTAATTTTCATAATGTATTATTTTATATCATGTTTACTTTTTTCTAATCTTCTCTAGCTAGTACGAAAGGTCTCCAAGAATAAAGTGAAGATCTCTGTATACAATCTGTTGGAAAATTTGTGTGTATTTTTCAGTTCAGTTTACTCTCATCATGCTGATATAGTCAATTCTTGTATGCAGATCAGGGCAAATTCACATGTCAGTTAGCAAAAGATGTAGCTTGATATTTATATGATAAACATCAATAAGAGTTAACAAGCAACAGGGAAGAGAGAGAGAGACAGAAACAGAGAGAGACACATACAGAAAGCGAGAGAGACAGAGACAGAAATGAACAGGCAAGAAATAAAAATTAAAGAAGCAGAAAACTTCATATCAACAAATTACATTATCTGCATCTATATATTGAACGGGCAGAACCTTTCAAGACCACTGAAAATAGTACTGAGAATATTTGGCATGGACAGTCTTAAAAAGAATGGCCTTTGGCTATTCCAGATTTAACCTGTTTCTAGACATAACTGCAGCACAAAGGAAGTAAGATAGGTTATTCCTTCCTCTGTTCTGCATCATAAAAAATTTGGTGGACAGGAATGGTAGTCAACAGAACTGATAGTAATACATGCATTTCATTGACTGAAAATGTGGAAGCTATGTAACTTCAGATTCTGGAATATAAGGCATAATTTACATATGTTAAGTCCAAATGGAAGTGAAATTAGAGCAAGAGTAAATGCTGCTTAGCATAGCATTTCTATGATGTGCTTTGCTAACACATAGTAATTTTATTGATTATGATACTGTAGGTAAATGCAGTGCAAGCATAAAGTAAAATGATTGATACAGGAATATAATATGATCAGTATTATAAAATATATGAAATATATTTATATAAAAATTATGTATTTAAATTAAAATATATAAAATAAGGGGCTCTGAACTAAAATGTTAATGATACATTAACCTCTATTTATTTACTAAAAACAACTTCAGAAAGATTGACAAAAAAGAATTGCAGTGAGTGGAATGTGGGTTTTTTCCCCCCAGTTCTTGTTTAACTTCAAATAGCCTGATTCTAAGCATGCTGTGACTGTATTCCAAGGGAAAAATGAGAAAAGGCCATTTATAGAAAATGCTGCTTGCTATGATCCAGAGGGCAAATTCAATCAGGGGCTAATGTTTTGTTCTTATTACTTTACTCTTCCTCAAGTACATTTTAGATCAGTTAAATCTTTACAAATATATTTATTTATTTATTTATTTATTTATTTATTTATTTATTTATTTATTTATTTATTTATTTATTTATTTATTTGATTTGCCAATTGTTTACAAGATAATAAGTATAAGTGTATACATAGTTGTGAATACATGAAATGGGTACATATAAGAAAAATAAAAGAATAAGAGAAACAATAGGACAGGGACGGTAGGCACGTTGGTGCGCTTATGCACGCCCCCTACAGACCTCTTAGGAAAGGGGTGAGGTCAATAGTAGACAGTCTAAGGTTAAAGTTTTTGGGGTTTGGGGAAGATTATTCTGTCATAATAGGATTCACTAATTGCAATTTCAAATATTCTCAGTTGATTTCGTGCTATCAAAATTGGAGTCATTTCTTAGTGACCACATAGGTAATGTTTATATGAGTACATTTGCATGATTTCAAATACTGCAGCCAAACTCTTTGGTTCTTTTTAACTCTCTTGTATCAATTAATAATTTGTTTTATTTCCTCCCTAATTATTTTTTCTTCTTCATAACTGCAATTTCAATAAAAATCCAGGATGTTCTAAAAAGTGTTGGTATGATGACATGGTGAAAATCAGTAGAATCCTTGAAACAGTTAAATATTTTTTTATTTGTTTGGCTATCAGGTTAATTTGATCCTTATGAAGAGGACAAAAAGAGATTTTAGTCTGGTGTGAAAGGAAGTCTCTGGATTTCAGAAATCAATGATTCTGATAATTGTCTAAGTGTTGAATACTATTCATGAATAATGTAAGTCAGTTTTATGTAAATGTGCAAAAGTCAAGTCAAACTATCCTTGTAGTGTGTCACATTGTCAATCGCAAGCAATTTCCGTGTTTTCAGAAACCACTAGCAGCAATTTACAGGAAAGATGAGAGATGTTACCATACGGTATCTGACATTTTCTTGATTTAAACT